CTGCTGCTGCTGCTGCTGCTGCTGCTGCTGCGTCTGCTGTTACTACTACTACTACTACTACTACTACTACTACTACTACTACTGCTACTGCTACTGCTACTGCTACTGCTACTGCTACTACAACAACTACTACTACTACTACTACTACTGCTACTACTACTCCAACTACCGCCATACTGCTGCTACCAGTACCGCTTGCAACACCCCGACTACTATTACTGCTACGGCGACGACGACTAGTACTAGTATTACTGCCGCTACTGCTACTGCTACGCCACTGCTGCGGCTGCTACTACTCCCTCTGCTCATGCTGCCGCTGCTAGCGGGAGAAGCCCTGCTTTCCGGAAGATTGTGCGTCGCTGGGCTCGTCGTTTGCAGAACCAAGCTCGAGATGTAGACATGGCCCGTGGCCCCCCGACCTCAACCCCAAGCCAGCCTGGATCGACTACTCCACCAAGACATCAGAGGTTGGCATCAGGAGACCCGAGAACCAAAGTCCTGAAACCCCTTCTGATACCTTCAATCGCTTTTTGCTTTGACCTGAAAAGATGGGAAAGCGAGGTGAAGATTCCGGCTGTGGGTGGCCATCCGAAGAACATCATCATGCTGCCCCCCGACCCAAGCAGGGCTTAGGTCAGTGACACTGTCAGTGTCTCAACTTGTGTGCAGAGAGTCTTAAACATCAGGGTTTAGTCTTCAGAGCAGGTGTTCTGATGGTTCGTTTTGTCCGAGGATGATGACTACTTCAAGGGCCAGCGTTGTGTTCGTAGAGCTGTAAGCGTCCTAATCGAGTTTATCCTACTCAGGGCTAGTCGCACCGTACTTCTATCTGAACCCCTCTAAGTCCTTACGCCGTGATGAGCTTGTCGACTTCCTGAGTTGGGTTGGGGAAAGAAGAGTATCAAGACTAGTGCCAAGCTTGAGCTTGGGCCTCTGCTCTAAACCGTAAATCGTAAGCCCCAGACCGCCAACCCTAGACCCGAAGCTCTGAACTCTAAACCCAAACCCCAGGCCCAACTAAACCCTGAACCCCAGGCCTCAAACCGTGAACGCCGCAACCCTGCGGTGCAAGGACCTGTGACGCCTTCGGTGTCCTCCCACCGGTGTCGAAGCTGACACCGGCACAGGCCCACGGAGCCCTTTCAGAGAGTTCGAAACTTCGGCTTTCTAACAGAGTTCCTTAATCTTTCGAACAGGGCTTAAGGGTATACTATAGCAATCAAACTATATAGGGGCTGGACGAGCGTGGCTCCTTGCAGGCTATGTACCACTTCATCTCCGGCTACACCGCCAAGGCGCCTGCAGGGCCCTTCCAGTCTTAGTGAGCGATCAGGCAATTGGGCAAGAAGGCAAGGAAAAAAAAGCTACAAGAAGGATTATCTCAAGTAAGGTACTCCAGACTCCAGATACTTACTGAGTCCCTTGATCCTTTACGTGCCTGCAAGTGAGACTTGCAAGCCGCTTGTTCGCAGAGGTGGCAGGCACGGAGATGGGCGTCACAGAGCCGACGGCCGCAAGGCTGCATTTCTTAAGATCTTTGAACATCAAAGCCTCAAGCACGAAAAGCTTCAGATGTCAACCGTCGACCCCTAAACCCTAAACCCTAAACCCCGAACCCCTAATCTAAACCCCAAGCCTAAACCCCGAACAGCATAAACGCGACTGCAGTGGCCTGCTTTGGGGGTTCAAAGAGACCCTGCACTGAAGCAAAGAAAACGCTGGGTTTAGGGCGTAGAGCGTAGGGTTTGCAAGGTTTAGGGTTGTGGGGTTGTAGGGTTGTAGGGTTTAGGGTTTAGGGTTTAGGGGGGTAACCTAAACCCCCAAAAACAAAAAGGTCTGTAGCCGAAGACGGTAAAATCCTGCATCTTGAAATGATGGTTTGCCAAGTTTTTACGGTATCCACAGGACAAGGTGTGTTTCACAGCACTGGCCAACTGACCCCACACGGAACGCCCAAAGCCCCGAAACCAAAAGCCTGCCGTCGCTTCTTGATATCCTTCTTCTTCTTCTTTTTCCCATCGTTGACATATTCAGCTTGATGGTGATGATGGTGACTGCGAGGATCTATTACTATTTCATGCTTCTGTCTTTACGAGGCAACCTTCTCCGCCTGCTTTGGCGCACCATTCATGGCCCGGAGCTCAGAGTGAGTGGTATTTTAATGTCCTAAACCAGGGTTTCTTGAGGGTTCAAGATTCAGGGGGTCGTATGGTTTTGGAGGGTTCAGGGTTTTGGGGTTTAGGGTTCAGGTTTGATGTTACGATTCAGAGTTTATGGGGTTTAGGGTTTTGTCTTCGGCGTCGTTGAAGCTTGGTCTATTAAACTCCAAGCCAACGGCGTAAGCCAAGTGCTGACACCAACAGCCGAAGCGCCGATCTCAGCGAGGGTTTTTGTTCTAAGGTTACTCAGAGCCACATGATCGAACAACGAACGACTAAACCCACATCCGTAAGCCTGATCCCTAGAAACGTGACGAACCGTTTATTTCTGCCTTCTTCCTTCGTTAGGTCTGGCATCCTGCGAAGTACGCCGAGCTCCTCGCTGACAATATGTCGAAGCACAATGTGAATGTGGGCGACTTACAAGGGGTTCAGAGGTACCAGGTTTAGGGTTCTACGGATGCTATGATTTGGGGATTTACGGTAGGGTTCCTCCTTGAATGTGGGGGATTCAGTTGCGCGGTAGTTTGGGGTACAGGGAGCGGAGGAGCCGTTCCTTGGGGTTGCAGGCACATGGGCTCAGGGCCAAGGGTCCCGGACTCTGCTGCATGCCAGCGCGCTTCGATCAGAAACTGGAAAGAGCTTGAACCCTAAACCCTAAACCCTGAGCCCTAAACCCTAAGCCCTAAGCCCTAAACTCTAAGCCCTAAGCCCTAAACCCTAAAGCCTCGGGTGGAGCCTGGATGCCCTTGCATAGTGTCTTATTGTTTACGGTTAGACCGGCTCGAGCCAGCAAATCAGAAATTAGAACAGGGTTTTTTGGGGTTCCTTATAATTATGACTATGGTATAATATACCCCCTAAACCCTATTCTAATTACTAAGTCCCCCATATGAAGGACAGACAAAGGAGAAGGATGCGACAGGAACCCTAAAGCTTCACGTGGGTAGTTGTCAAAATTAGGGTCCCTTTTTGGGTACCCTAAATGATAGGTGCCGTATTATAATAAGGACCCAAAAAGGGACCCTAATTTTGACAACCACCCACGTCTTCAACCCGAGCTTAAACCCTAGGTTCTCAGGTGCGAGACCTAAACCTTGAGCCTTCAAGCCCTAAGCCCTAAACCTTAAACCCTAAGCCCGAAGCCCTAAACCCCGAGGCCTGGGGTTCGCAGGGTTTTAGATTTGGGGGTTCTGTAGGCTTTTGGGTTTACCTCCGATAATTGTGCAGGATTTGGGGTTTCGGATTTTGGCCTTCCGGATGCATAGCTTTCAACCCCAACCAATGCGGGAGCCCCCACGAGAACCCCACACTCACGCGAAGCAGCTTAATCCTGAATAGCCAAAAAACCTTCAAATCCTGGAAGCTTAAACACCCTAAATCCTAGAAGCCCTGGAGCCCTAAAGACCTTGCGCCCTCTAATCCCTAAGCCTCAAGCTCAACGCCCCAAAGCCCAGAGAAGCGCCAAGTTCCGAGGCCTGGCTGATCAACACGGGATGGACCGGTGGTGGCTTTGGACAGGGACATCGCATGAGCCTCAAGGACTCCTGGGACAACTGTTGGGCGTTTTTGTGGCGTGGGTACTGCATGTTTTCAAAGGGAGCCCATCAAAAGCATGTCTTCTCTTTCTCTCCTCATTTGAAGGAGGCCATGAACAAGTTTTTCGGATCACTGTCTTCTTTCCGTCTTAGACGGTATCACAGAATGGTAAGTATTGCTGGGCTGGAATGTTTGAAGCTCTCGCTCTTCGAGACATCTGCTGCCTACCATGGATTTAGAATTCAGGGTTGCAGGGTTTTGCAGGGGTTTCAACACCAAAACCCCAAAACCTAAACCCTTTTTCGAGCGTGCAGGGCACAGCTGTCGGTTGCCGGGTCAGCACCGACTGCACTGAACAGGTAGACTACTAGGGATTATAACTACGCATGCCGGGGAGATCGGGGCTTATGGGTGAGAGCTCTCCAACCCTAAACCCCAAACCCCTAAACCCTCAACCCTCGAGCCCTAGAGCCGAAAGCCCTAACGACCCCGAAGCCCGCCCCACGATGCCTCGAAACAGGACACCCGGGCCATCATCGACGCCATCCACACCGGGGACTTGGCCAAAGCTGAGATCCTCGGCGCCTGTTTACAGGATTCTTAGGCTTCCTTTCAGGGTGTAGGGTTCAGGGTTTTGTCGGCTTGTTCTTTAGTTTCTTTTTTTCAGACTTGGGTTGCCGCTTTTTAGGGTTTAGGCTTTCGGGAGTGCGGTTTTCAGTTGCAGTTCTCGTCCCACACCTACAAACTGTGCGAACTGACCTTCGAGCACCCGTGAAGTGCGGTGCGAGGTATGAGAACTTCCCGCGGTTCAATCTCCAGGCTCTGCTCCTTCCTTCTTGTCTTCTTGTGTCTGCAGGGTGGTGAGGGGATGGCTGTGCAAAGAAGAGGGCAAGAAGTGTATTTCAGTTCTCTACGATGCACAGGGCTTGGCTTGGCTTGGCTTCCGACTCTCTCAAGGGCTGGAGGTGTCAAGCAACCTCAAAGAAGCTACATTATTAAGCGTGTTGTTGCAGAAATTATCTGGACTGCAAAAAAAAAGCCAAACCCACACCGATATGCTAATCCTTAAGCTCTAAGCCAGACAAAAGCCTGAATCCTAAACCCTAACCACACTCGTGAGTTGTCCGGCTGATGCCACGAAGCCCAAGAAGTCGTAAGTTCGGCGCCTAAAACTTCCTTAGGCTTAGAGTGCCAGCAGCAGCACCACCTTGATCGCTCCTGTCTATGTGCGTCATAGTTCTTGTTATGGCTAGCAGAACTGTGATGAAGCTGCGTGGTCTTGGACAGAAGCATGATATGTTGCTATGTGGTGTTGTGCACAGGGAGATGAAACAGTGGTCATTATTCAACGATACATCCCTAGACTAAGTTCTACATTGTGTGCTTGATTGGAGAGTATGTATACGTGTATCTATGTATATACATATATGCGTGCGTTTAAAGTATGTATATGCAAGTACACGTAGAGAATGTGTATATCGCCAGTCTATGTGCAGCAAATCGGAAAGGCTGTGCGTCCGAAGTCCAAGCATCTTGCACACAATCAGCAAGATTCCTTCATTGCTTCTTCACAGTTCTACGGAGCCCAAAGCCTGCACCCTGCGGGAACAACTAACAGCTCTAGCATGAGAGTTTCTTCACAAAAAACAAGCACATGTCGGAGGTGCCAAAGACGTGCCCGAATGTGGATGCGAAGATGCTGATGCCGAACAAGACCTGGTCGAACCAGGCTTGCGGAAGCGTGACAGTGGATCGGCCGCTGCTGTTGTTGATCGTGATGACGTTGATGGCGGTGATGGTGATTCTGATCGTCGAGATGTTGACGACAGCGACAACTACTGCAACTGCTACTACGAGCACTGCTGCTCCTCGCTGCCGCTGCTACTGCTTGCTTGCCACTGCTGCATTGCTGCTACGGACACTGCTGCTGGTTGCTGCTGCTGCTGCTGCTGCTGCTGCTGCTGCTGCTGCTGCTGCTGCTGCTCTCCACTTCGTCGTGCCCCTCCCCGTCATCCTGCACAAACTCATTGTACTTGTACTTTTGCTCTTGCTGCTGCTCTTCATTGCAAGCGTCCAGACTGCCTGGCGTCTAGTATTCGTTTCAAGGCCGCGCTTAAAACTGATCATGATGCTTATAGCCTGAGCTGTATCAGTATGATGATGAGGATGACGATGTCGACGATGATGATGAACGTGATGCTTATACTGATCATGCACTGTAGTGGGCTTGAGAAGACTGGAAGGACGAGTTCAACAACGCTTCGAAGAGATTGGCGCAGCTCTTCAAGGCCACAGCCCTACATTAAGCCCTGACATTCATTCCTTACTACGCCCTGAGCCTTGGAGGTCTTACACCAATGGACCTTTTAAGCCTCATACTTCAGGTTCTAGTTGAGAGGTGGGTTGCTTAGGGCTGTTGGGGGTTTAAGGTACCAGCTCGAACTTTTATTCAGAGCCTTAATCTATCTCTTCGAAGTACATGCTCGAAAGCAGCTCTCAACGGCTTGTGGACAGATGGGAGTGGTTGGTAGAGAAGTTTGTCAGAGTGGCGTAGTAAAATCGGAAATGCTAGCAGCAACAGAAGCTTTGCAGTAGTGATATGCATGGTAGTAGCGGCGACAACAGTGATTACAGTAATCTTGAAAAACAGTCATGCGCACCAGCAAAATCATAATGATGACAGACAAGGGTAATGAGCTCTTCCTGTTCTTGCTATCTAAGTACTACTATCATCATGGGTAGTTTTATCATTATCGTCCACCTTACGAGGCTTCCGGATCTCTGTATGAATGGCTTGAGAAAGTGTGACACTATGCTCTCCGACAAACCAGACGCCACGCCCTGCAGCAAACGTTGAAGACCACGGCGTTTTGAATTTTTTACCAATGCTTCAGACCTTCATATTCGTGTCAGTCCTACATAGCCTTAAACCGTAAGCGCTAAGCTCCTCAACCCTCACAAAACCCTTCAACTTCCAAACCCCTAAACCCCTAGACGTTGTTGGTGAACCCTACATGATGAGGACAACTTCAAGAAGTTTGAATCGGGCTGCTCCGCGGACATCGTTGCAGCAGCTCCGCAGTAAGGCCTGGCGCTATGGGGTTTCGCACATTGCCTGCACTTCAACCCTGCGCCCTTCAAACCCTAAACCGAAGCCTCTGAGCCCACTCTTAACCCTATAAACCTTAAGCCCTCAAATCTTTCACCTGTCAGGGTTCAGGGTTCAGGGCTCAACCTGAAAGTTTTGCACTCTGGTGAGCCTGGAGTTGATGATTCTGCTTCGAAGAGCATGATCTGCAACAAAGAGTGCCCTGAATTTCCCAAAGTTTCGGGTACTTAAGGTGACGCCGGATGTTGTCCATCATTCCTAGTCTTCATTGAAACTATTTGAAACTCCAAACCCGCGGCCCTAAGCCCTGAACCCGAAACCCTAAAGCCACCAACACCTGAGAGGCCCACGTAGCCCTGTTCGAACAGCCTCCTGTGAAGGCACCCAAGCGTCCGTTTGCACCCGATAGGCCCAAAACTGTCAGAAGTTGGGATGCAGGGTTTGGGGCTTTGTGGAGTTGGGGCTTTGGATTGCAGGGTTTGGAGGGGGTTGGGTGTCAGAGATGACAGTACGCCAGTTAGTCTCTATACTGCCTCTGTACACCCGATGTCTTTAGGGAAGCGTAGGCGCAGGGCGTGGGTTCTTGAGCCCACAGCCGAGCTATACGTGAGGCCTGGTGTGAGCGTGCCACTCTTGTAGTGGCATGGGGTCATCTGCAAGCAGGAGTGGTCGTCAATGTAATCAAAGATTGGTGGAATAACCGTGAGTCGAACAAATAACATACTTGAGTACATCAACACTTAAAGAGATACAGAATCAAGAAAACATATGCCATATGCACAAAGAAGTAGATATACAAACATATCGAGAAACGAATAAAGAACTATGGAAAACAGATAAACTGATTGAGTATTTACATGGGTAGAGACCTGACCAGCTGTTTCGAAGATTCGATGCATGCACAAGTATCGCTCTTGTCGGAAAAGAAACGAATCCCAGCCTGCAGAAGCGTCTGGGGTGTTCCTTCGCAGTTCCCAGCATCGACTGCGCTTGCGCGGATTCGCAGATGGTCCTGATCATTTTTATTCGAACTATCTTGTCTCGGTGGGGCTGTTCGAAAACAGGTCTCCAGCTAAGACTGGCTTGAATCCAAATTTGTGTCCTAACTTCAACCTTAAGTCCTTAAGTCCTAAACCCCATGCAAACAAGGCAGACCCTCTTGAGAACAGTCCCTCTATGAGATGTGCCGTACTAGCCTTTCTTGGCGCAGCCGCCCAAGTGCTGATTCGCGCTTGTTGAGACCATCCCATGACAGGAGGAGGCGTAGGCCCCAGAACTCCTAGACCCGAAGACTGAGATTGTTTCTAGTATACTTTTGATTATAGTATTATAGGTTTAGGGTTTAGGGTTTAGGGTTCTTTGTTCCAACGTGTTATATCGTAACGTATTAGTTGTAGATATCCGAGACACTCTAAACCCCCGTCTTCAAGCCTTAATTAAGCCCGCTTGAAACCCATCAAGCCCCCAGAACTGGCAAGACTGTCATCCCCAGCTCCCTGCCAGAGCAGATCGTCTCTTGGCGAATTCGGTTCCCTTTCGGGGTGCTTTTCATAAGGGCGCCCTACTATTCTTGTGACTTGAAAAGAGGGACCCTAATCTAGAGCAATACCCACATGGGTTCAGGGGGCATCATCCGGCTTGAGCATGTTGGTCAGGGCTCTGCAGCAAGATCAGAGTATGTAGACATGCTACAATATACCCCAAACCCTATCCTGAGCAATAAAGCCCCTAATATCAGAACACTTGCCGTAGTTCTTTAAGGGAGCCCTTCGAAGGAACCCTTTGCAGTACAGAGCTCACGAAGACCCTCGTTAACCTAGTTGAACCTGTACATCATCCCCCCATGACTGGGCACGAGAGGCCAAACCTGATACTCGGTTTAGGGTTAAGGCTTAAGCCCCCATACTAAAGTTTACAACCCTAAACCCTAAAACCCCACAACCTGAAAGCTCTGAACCCTAAGCCGGTGTGGAGCTTGGTACCTTGAACTCCAAGACCTCGAGTTTTACAGCAAGCCCAAAGATTCGAGTCTTAGGCCCTAAGCCCGAGAAACCTTAAACCTAGGCAGCAGTTTTTTCATATTTGTTGTCATGGTTTGGAGGTAGCTCTCTGGCACAGCGTGCGAGCTCGGCAAAGCCAAACATCGGGGCCCAAGGCTTCGGGTGGTTCCTGCAGTGCGGCTTATTTTTTAATTTTAGTATGACGGTTTTCGAAAATCTCTCGACCTCGAACACTGGCCTTACTTGCCTTTGCCGAAGCTACCGCCTGTGACTTCAGTTTTGAGCTTGATGGGCACATGGTGTCCCGGTCTCCGCGGTGGAACCGGCTTCGCAAACCTCAGCCTCAAAGCCCGAAGCTCTACAGCTCAACTGACCCAAAGCTATCATCCTACTCAATGAGGGGCTGGGAGCCCGATGTTTGGCGATGTTTGGGGACATTGGGAATACACCTCCTCGTAGGGGGATCCTAGCCAAAGGGGGAACCTACTGTATCTTGTGGCTCTGATTGGATGGTCTTTGAGAGCGTAGGGTAGCAGGGATGGCGGCAGAAGAACGCCTAAACCCTGAACCCCTAAACCCCTAAATCCCTAAACCCCTAAACCCCTGAACCTCTATTAAACCCAATTAAAATTCAGCCCGTACCGAGAACCCAGTGCTGAAGCCACGGAGCATTTTGAAGACGTGGACATCGGAATTCGATTTGTCGCATGACGAGCCCAGCAAGTGGCTCCGAGACGTTTAAAGAACGGCAAGGGGACCAGAGGAGTAGTAGTAGTGGTAGTAGTA